TAACTTGGAGTTGGTCGAGAAGGCCTCTTCGAAAGCGATCACTTTTGCCGTTTGCTCTCCCGACTTTTCTCTTAACTTGACTGCTCCCTTTGACGCGTGCTCTCCTTTCGCGGCGGTTGGCTCGCGCTTTACAAGACGGAAATCGAGCGTGCAAACGGCTTCTCGTCCGATTTCCGTCGAACGCTCGATTAAGAATGGAACGAACGACGGCTTCTCCGTTCACAGGAAATCAAAATCAAAGCGCGAAAGTCGCCTAGGTGATCGGATCGTTAATCCAGCTCGTTGATCCGTGATGCGAACCGAGTCTCCGTTCGTTTACCACGATAAACACCGGTATAGAAGGTGCCGACGCTTTATTTTACTCTTCGAACAGGCAAGTTCCTTTCAAATTTAATATTTCCAGATATTTTCGAGATACTAACGGTTAAGATCGATGAGATTTCTCGTTGTGTATCGGGTTCCCCGATAATTAAGGACTCGTCGTCTCAGAGTCACGCTCGAGTAATCCCGATACGATTAATGTTTCCGGTACGAAGCCGGTACGAAGAAAAATTGTTCGATAATTATCGCGTAACGCGTCTCTACTAATTCGGTCGTGTCTGGCCACGGATCGACTTAAACCACTGTGCATCGTGTCTGGGTGGTCCGTGTGGTGGCGTACGAGACTCCCCCGGAAGATTACACGCATCTGTCGACGAGTTCTCGATCCGTTTCTGATCTCCCCCTCGGAAAAAGGAATATCGCGTTACATCCGACCAGGGCCAGACGGCTCGTTAGTACTCGACCAAGCTTTTTATTCCCCCGGGACAGAGCTCTTTTGATTTTCAACTATTTTCTCTCCTAAACGTTCTTGGAAATCGTTCTATGCGAATTTGGCCCCCTCCGGGATGTACGGATCGATAAGCAAAGAAGCTTAACCGTTGTTGAGCGCCATTGATTATCGCGTAACAATCAGGGATGTTACTCCGTAATACTTTTTTTTTTCATTTTCTTGCTCGTCTCGAATCTCGAACCGTAGAATCCACGAAAATTGTTTGGCGATCGTACCGTCAAAGACGAGCCGTGTTGCCGTTAGCGAAGGAAGTTCGGCGAGCCGGAAGAAGAAAGGGTCGAAGATTTCAGGGTCGAGGTTCGATCCAAGGTTGAGGCCTTCAGTGGGAGAGTTAGGTTGTTCTGGTGCTCGGCTCTGCTCGGCATGACACGGCACGCACGCGCTTTATTCTTCGCTGTTTACACGAAAGTTAATCTCGACTGGTTGGTTAGTGGATGCTGCAAGGAGCGAGAAGAAACGACGACGTTGGTGGGGATGCGGTTGGACGTTAGCTTCGTACACGATGATAATAATAAACGTTCCTCTCTCCCTCTCTGCTCCGGCAAGCTTCTCGCTCACGCCCTGTCGGCGGCGTCTTTGATCTTTCGCTTCGTTTGTGCATTTAAACACGGCTTTCCGAGTAGCGGAAAGAGAGGAACGGTGCTCGAAAAGGAGAGGGACAGGGAAAAGCCCGTAAAACGAGGAGAGAAAGAGGGAGAAAAAGCTAGTCGAGTGGTCGGGCAAAATCTCGTGGAGACCTCAGAGACGCAAAGTGAGTTTCGCGATTACAAACGAGCCCTTCTTGCGAACCTCGCCTCTTTTCGCCTCGCCTTCGTCGTCTTCATCTCTCTTACCATTATAACATCTTGTCCGACCGTTTGTCTCGTTTCTTCCTTCCCTCTTTCTCCAACCTTTATATCCATTCGCGATCTTTTACTTTTTCTTCTTTTCCTTCCGAGCTTCCGAGCTTTGTCACTCTTTATTGTCGCATTGTACGCCGACAACGCGCGACAGCCCTCGAATATCTACCTTCTCGAGGATAACTCCTCGAGATTAATGCCCCTTAATGGACTCAATGCCGGAGAAGAGGACGCGGACATTTTAACGTCGCCCTTTAATCCGCCCAGCCACAAGGCCCTGTTACTCCGAAAGTGGAAAGGGTAGAGGAAACAGAAAAGCGAAATCGTTGTATCGACAACGAAATGTGTTTTCGAAACTCTTCTTCCTTGTTTGTCAAGGTTCTGTTCTTCTGTTTCTAAACATACTTCTGGCGAGATTTCACTTTAACCCCCTCTCTTTTCTATCATGTTATTCTACTCAAGGGAAACGCCATCTGAATAACACCTTATCAGATCTTCAAATGGGTCTACATTTCGCTTTCTCAAAAAATCACGTAAGGAAAAGTGACAGTGAAGGACATACTGAAGATGGTCAAGTGGGCACTCGAAAGAAACTTATGTTAGGACCTCCAGCAACTTGTTTATTTGTAATAAAAGAGGCCAGTTATGCTTGTGACTGTGTCACAGATGCATACACTTGGATAAGATTCTATGCATTAGTAAGAAAGTTTTTTGAATTCGTATTCAGCACATCAAAACGGGAAGAATGACGTATGACAAGTGCTAAAAGCTTCGGGGGTTAACGTAAAATTCAGTCATTCAGCATAGCGAATTATTAAAAAAGATTTTATTTTACGCAGAATCCGCCCTTAAAGTGTTTCCAGCATATTATAACTTATACCCCGCACAATCTTCGTTGCTGTCTAACGAAAAAGAAGGCGAGTGGATGGAACCACGTGCATTAACGGGGAAAGATTAATTCGCAAAGTAATCAGCTCGTAGTAACGGTGGTAGAAGGGATGGGGTTGATCTCGAACGCGGATGGATCGTCGTCGCATTTCCCCGAGAAACTATAGAAAAGCTTAGCCTCTCGACGCGTCTCGTCTCGCCTCCGCTCGGCTCGAGTCGAGTTCGACGCGATAAAAAAAAGCCGTCGACGGCAGAAGCGTCGTCGCGGGTAAAAGTAAAAGGATTGGACAGGCTGCGCGGGACCAGTCGGCTGTTAATAATGCCACCTCGGGGATGCGCTGCTCGAAGTAGTCGTCTCCATTTCACGGGTAACCAGGCATCCATGTAAAGTAAATTCCGTTCTCCCTCGTTTCTTCTTTTTTTCCCTCATTTTTCTTTATTCGGTCATCGCGGTCTGCGTCCTTTTTCTCTGCGAATCCGTGCGTCGATCGGGGTGGTTCGAAAATCAAAGGAAAACCTATTGGAAATTAAAGAATCGAAACGATATACCCGCTAACGACGTGCAATCCTTTTCCTTTGTGAAGGCATTCGGCGTTCGATGAATAATTTTCATAACGCGAGATTCGTGTTTGATCGAAATACGACTGTAATCGTGAAAGAGTGCTCCGTTTGGAAGATATCGGGGGAATCTATGGGAAACGGAAGGGAGAAATTACGTTTTCCGGCCCCGAGGAGGATGAACGATCGATGCAGTCGAAGGACTAAGGGTAACGAGTTAAATTAACGAAGGAAGCCTTATCGCGATCATGGTCTCCGGTAAACTGTCCGTAAGTTGCCCCCGATATCTGTCTCGAATTTCCTTACTCCCTGGGATCAATTCGTTATTGGCTCCTTCGTTGAAAGCTTACCCGTCTGCGGTTTCTGCCTTTGGAAATCTCTGCTCCTTCTGAATCTGCTGCTTGTCGAAGGTTACTTTCAAGTGGTTATCGCGATATGAAAAGGTACTCGTCCTATAAATTGTGCTTCGTCGAATAAGATCCTGGGCTAAGAATACGAAAGTAAGTCTGATCGATTTCTAGCAGGCTCATAGACTCGTCCGGAAGAAGCAGTTTAGGGAAGAAATTGAACGAATAAGAGTGAAATGAGTTGGTTAATTAGTTGCGAATCTTGCAATAATTCTCAAACACCGAATTTCTTTCAACTCGACCTCGCTGAAGAGTTATGTATGTAAAGAAAAATCGATTTCCGAATTGGAATACAGGATTATTGATCCCATCGTCGAGGAACGCGATGAAAAGCGCGATTACAGAGCGGAATTCCAAAACGGGGAAAGAGCATTCGTAGAACAATGGGAGGGAAAGCAATTGCCGGCGAGCCGAAGACGAAGAAGAAGAAGAAGAACAAGGACGAATCAGAGAGTGGAAGTTACTCGCCCTCTCTGAGAATGTCAGCTCGATTCCATCCTCGTTCCTTTTTGTTCAAGAAGGATCGAGCGGCCTGGAAGAGAGCACGTAACGTAGCGAAGGAATCGGCCTTCCGAAACCCACGGATTTAATCGAATCGAATAAAACATCGTGGTCGATCTCGTCTGTCCTTCTCTTTTCTTCTTCTTCTTCTCCTTCTTCTTCTTCTTCTTCTTCTGATCCTTTTCCTTTCCATTCTTTTTGCTCGTTTCTTGCGCGTTCGATTCGTCCTGCATCCACGACAGGACGACGTTCGATTCTCGAAGAAGAAGAAGGAGTAAAAAGGAAGGAGTACCCTCGGCGACGACTTTCGACGATGTCCTCCGGTTTGCGCGGAACAAACGCTCCGGGGCGTTCTTCTTCCTCCTTTTTTCTTAATTTACCCAGACTTTGTTGAAAGACGTCGGCAAATAACTTCGGCCGCGTTTTAAGGATTCATGAACCACCAGCCTTCTGCCTTTCTCGCAGCGACGTTTTTTTCGAGGAAAGGACGAACGTATATACTCACAGGATTCCCTTCTGCTCTCCTGGCTGTCGACTTTTTGTCCCTTCCGAACGACCTTGCTCTTAAAAATGATCCTTCTAGATCCAACCGCTGGATCCTGTTCTTACGGTCTGCTGTTATTTACTGGACAGCTTCTATGGTCCGGATCGCTGTTTTTTATTTGAGAGAAGGGTGTCTGCGAGACATCGTAAGGGTTTGACGCAGTCGAATTAAAAAACTGAACACGTTACTAATTCCAGATTTTGTAAAAAAGATACGGCAAATTAAAGAGTTAGCGATGTCTCGCTACATGGACGAGACGGGTGGTGGTTGAAATTCACCCTCTAAAAGTATTTACCAATATCGGATAAAATTTGTACACGTATCCGCGCGAGTGCAGGACGGCGCGGGGCGGCGCGGCGCGGCGGCGTCGGAGACCGTTAAATTATTCGCAAGACCGTAGCCTAATCGATCCGCGGGAATTTCTGTTTCAGGGATCAGCGAGGCGAGCGTGCAGTTGCAACAACCGAAGCTACCCTCGGCGGTCCGTGTCGGGGGCGAGGTCGAACTTCGATGTCACGTCGATGGATCTGGAGACATGAAATATGAGTGGTTCAAGTTAGTTACATAATTTGCTGCTATTTACCAGCGCGTTCTGAACTAACCCCGGGCCGACGATCGTGGAAAAGCCGCAACTCGAAGGGGACGTTTCCAACCCCGAGCTTCGAACTAACTTTATCCTTCGCGTAACTGACACCCGTCGTTTACGTAACTACCCTTGAATTATCCAGCTACGTTTTCCTTTACCCCTCGTCGTCATGATTTTCACCTTTTGCCCCTGCCTCGCGTTCAACCCTCATCGAGGGTGCGTCGAAAGTTACGCGAAATTCATTCCGCTTAGATTCAGATACGATATTCCCTATGCAAGAAAAACAAAATCGCACACCTGTTCCACGCGATCTAGTATAGAAACGTTGAAACATTATTCGCAGAAACCTTGAGCCGGTAGTTAGAACCGATCGAATCGAGATCAAGAAGAAGAAGCTACACGTCCACCGAGCAATTCCCGAAGACAGCGGAATGTACAGTTGCCTAGCGAAGAACGAGGCTGGATCTTCACCAAAAATGGAAAGCTACCCTCTTATCGTTTCTGGTAACGACACGGCAACGATAAAGGTCGTTCCTAGGAACCTGATCGCGAAACGAGGAGAACCGGCTGCGCTTCATTGCGTCTTCGAAGACGCGGATTCTGTACAGTGGTACTTCAAGGACATCGGCCCGTTGGAAAGCGACGACGAGAGAACTGTCTTCGAGAATGGAACTTTGCTGATACACTCGGCCGAGCACAGGGACCAAGGTTTCTATTCCTGTCGAGGGGAAAGGGGAGACAGCAGCGTTGCTTACACGGTTGATCTTCAAATAGCTTGTAAGAGAATATCTTAAGTAATTTACATAAAGTAATTTCGTGGCAATAACAAAGTTGTCAAATAAAAATTGTTTGTTACAGATTTAATGAACCTGTCCGCGGCTTCGTTCGAGCCCATTCTACTCAACCAAGTAGCTGTGGTAGGAGAAGAACAGGAACTCCAAGTGAGCTGCTTAGAACCCTCCGGTCTTCCAGCCCCCAAGGTCTACTGGAGAGATCCCAAGGGACACATTATAAGCGATTCCGGGCCGGTGCGCGTTCAGGATAACACGCTTATCATCGCGAAAGCACGGATAGGCGAAGACGACGGGAACTATACCTGCGTTGCCGAGAATATGGCCGGGGAGACCGATATGGTTGCTCAAGTGCTCATCTCCAGTAAGCTTACCTCCTTAACTTTTATCCATTGTGTATACTATCCAACGATACGTTTACCTTCAAACGAACGCGTATGTTTGCAGCACCACCGACGCTGATTAGCTCGCCGGAGAGTCTGAACGTGATGGAAGGTGATTCCGTGACGTTGACGTGTTCGTACTCGGGCATGGAACCGCCCGTGACCCACGTGCGTTGGCTGAAGGACGGGGAAGGTTTGAAAGAGACCGGCGGACCGACGAGACACCGGGTGACCGACCAGTACGGCAACGTGACCCTGCATTTCAAGAGCGTCGAGATGTCTGACAAAGGTAGCTACACGTGCGAGATATCGACGAAAGGTTTCCCTTCGATATACTCCGAGCGGGCTACACTGACGGTCGAAGAGAAGCTCAAGTTTTCGCCGCAACCGGTGGACAAGCGGCTGGAGCTTGGCTCGACGGCCAAAGTGCCTTGCAAGTCTCAGGGTGCCACTAATCCGACGGTGAAGTGGATCAAGGAAGGGGCCGGTGAGGAATTCCCGAAGCACGTGCAAGATATCAATGGGACTCTCCACTTCAATGGCGTCCTCGAGGAGGACAAGGGTCGCTACACGTGTATAGCCAGCAACGCCCAGGGATCGATCAACCACACGATCAGCATCGACGTAGTCAGTAAGTGAAAACTCGTATCGCGTCTGATAACTGCTTCTTCGATTGCCATTTAGGAAAATAAAAAAAAAAATTAGATTTGTAGGCGTTTAGTGGAGGAGGAGAAAGGGTTTTGTCTCCCCGGACGCCTTTAGTTCGAGCCGGGGACCGCTAGATGGCGGCGGGAGATGATCGGCGACAGTGTTCTCGCAAGCGGTCGCCCGGCATGCAAGTTCCGAATTGCGGAGTCTGACAGACGATCCCGAGACGAAACGCCTTTTTCTCCCCTCTCCTACAGATTAGTCATTCTGCAATCGTTTCTCCTTACAGTCGCACCGAAATTCACTATTCAGCCTCAGAACCCAACGGAGGCGATCGAGGGATACCCGGTAATGTTGCACTGTGCCGCGGAGGGCGATCCTAAACCCACGATCCAATGGGACAGGGACTCTCGTATGAACAATCTGAATAACTCCCGCTTCGAGGTGCTAGGAAACGGAAGTCTGTACATCAAGGAAGTGTACCTGGGCGACGAGGGCAAGTACGGCTGCACAGCGGGCAACAGCGGCGGTCTGAAAAGGGAAGAGGTTCAATTGAACGTGAAAGGTGAGTACCTAGTTCCTCTGTTTTGTCTTCCGTTCACGTAAAGGGAAATAGACAGGGAAACTCGATTTTCAGCCGGCGACACGTACAGATTCGACATGGATCCGGAAGTCGGTGACGACGGATCGATGATGACGAAGACGGTCACGATCACTCTGAGCGCAGCCGCAGCCTACATGGTCCTCGTGGTCGGTCTGATGCTGTACTGTCGTTACCGAAGACGTCGCAGGAAGCAGCAGTACCTCCAAGAGCAGGCTGAAGGTATCTATCCGCTTCGATCGCTCCACGAAAGCGTATCAGACTACGATTCCGTTCTAACCGGCTCCAAATAACACGCTTACCATCGCGCAGAGAAACTCGAGAACGGGGAGGTGCAGGAGGAACAGACCGAGCTGAAAGAGACCGGGAACAGCAAGATGAACTCCAGCGCGGGGAAGAAAAAGGAGAACCGCGATTCCCATAACAAGAGCGACGGCGCGGACACCGCGCAAAGTCAGAGCAGCAATCAGTCGAAGAAATCGAAGTCGAACTACGACAAGATCGCCGTGTCTCGGGGTAACTTGAAGGAATTGAAACCTCTTGGTCGCGGTGAGTTCGGCGAGATTTACGCGACCAAGTACCAGGTGGACGGGGACAAGGAAAGCCTGGTGATGGTGAAGAGCTTGACCAACACCAAGGACGAGACGGCTCTGCAAGAATTTAAACGCCACCTGGATCTCCTGCACAAACTGAACCACGAGAACGTGGTGAAACTGATAGGTCTGTGTCGCGAAGAGGAACCCGATTACATGATCCTCGAATACACCGATTGGGGCGATCTGAAGCAATTCTTGATCGCTTCTCGCAAGGACAACAACTCCAGCCCGACCCAGGAAACGAAAGCTCCCCGTGCACCTCAATTGTCTGTCGCGCAGATCCTTTCTCTGTCGAACCAGGCGGCGAAAGGGTTGAAACACCTGGCGGACACACGTTTGGTACACAAAGACATAGCCGCCCGAAACTGCCTGATCGCCAGTAACCTGACGATCAAGATCTCGTTGCCGTGCATGACCAAAGAGCCCTACCAACAGGAGTACACGAAACACCGGAACCAAGTGATCCCTCTTAGATGGCTGCCCTACGAGGCGGTCTACGAGGACGAGTACTCGACCAAGAGCGACGTCTACTCGTTCTCCTGTCTCGTATGGGAGATGTTCCATCAGGGCGAATTGCCGTTCAACAAGATGAACGACGAGTCCGTGTTGATCGCGTTGAAATCTCAGACACTCGCGTGGAAGCCACACAAAGCTGCACCTCCTGCCTTGCAGGAGCTTCAGGTTCAGTGTTGGGCAAACGATCCACGAGACAGACCCACCTTCGACGAGGTCGTATTGAAAATAGGTGAAATCGTGGTCGACAGTTGCCTGTAGGTTGCTCGAACAACGCCAACGAGGCTCTAAAATCCGGATACACTGAGACAAAAGTAATTATTCGTTTGCGTAATGACGTTTAACAACGATAAACGGTTGGATAAATGTCAGGGTTCGATCTCGCAACGATTACTAGTGTTACAGTAATTCGGTCGCGTCCATTAGGTCGGTAAGGATTATAATTTATTTCTAACTGAAGAAACATCCGCTCCAACGACTATGAACGTCGGATTAACGTAAGGATACACGGTACGGATCCAGTACACGCTACAATATTATACGACTAACGCAATATTATAGTCTATCTATTATCGAATATCAGTGTAACGATATATATTAGGAATATGCAAAAGTTTTAGTCTATTTTTATCCGTTCGATTTCTTTTCTATGAAACCAAATTTCCAATGTTCTTTGATGGATCTTTCCCAATGACTTTTATTCAAATCTAGAAAAGACTAAAACTTTTGCATACGCTTAATTATATAGGGTATATATCGATCACCGCACATCGAATACTCGTTAAGAACACCGCTACATAAATATATATTGTCGTCAAGGCAAGAGATCGCAAGCTACGAAAGTATCAAGACCATATCAACGTTGAACGAACGACAAGTTTTTATAACCGCCTAATTCACGTCTGCCCTCGTTGTATTCCGTTAAGGTCTAAGGCTTAAGAATTATTTATATAGCGTACACGTTTGCGTCTGACACGTAACACATATAAATATATAAATATATATATATATGTATAATATACAGGGTGTCCGATAGATTTCTTACCCACTTTACTAGTAACCGTCTGTGATTAGACGGTTCGACAAAGTTTCTAAGGAAAGTTGTGGGACACCCTGTAGATAGACGTGTGGGTGTACAGGGTGAATCGTGTAGTCGAAACGACGAGCATTTCTAACCCTTCGAGGACAGTGCAAGCACCTTGGACGTGTCGATACAATTACTATGTCTGTGATTTAATTTGATTATTGGATGGAAATTGAGAAAGAATTGAATGCTGAAAGGGTTACGAGCTCGGAAATCGTTTCGCACCGCTTGGCTCACCTTGTCCACGTACAAGAAATTAAAAGAAGTCGAGGAAGAATGAACGAAAGAACGAAGGAAAGAAAGGCAGGAGCGATTGCTCGATATCGACTCGAAGAGGTGAAATAAAACGGTCTTGTATATACCGTGGGTATTCGTTATAAGTACAATCGCGAGATTCAAGTTTAATTATCCCGAGGTATCGGTATGCTATTCTTCTGATTATCATTGCTACACGAACAAGGCTGAAAGAAGATCGAAATTCTATATCGAGCACTACCTTAGAGCCTATTTTTGCATTCGGGGATGAATAGATTAAGAATCAGTCGTGTCGAACGTCCTCGAAACTGGACGATTCGACAGTCCATATCACGAAATTCGTACAACGAAGCCAATTTTGTTTCGTTTATTTCCATTTCGCAGGGGTAACTCGAATCGAGTCGCCTGTACGATTTTTCTTTTCTTCATAGGAATTTCCATTTCGAGTTAGACAAGAGCTCGAAGGTTACAAAAGAACCCATTACAGAATCATAGAGAGATTATAGATCACGGTTAATCAAGAGCATTAAATATGCTGATACGATGACTATCATAGCTCACGCGAGGAAATACGTACACGTACAGAGCTGTCAACGTCGAAACGCAGGAGCAATTACTCCCAGAATTGGAAAAAGGAAAATGTTTAACACTCTGATTGCCACATTAACGCGTTGGAAATTAATTTAATTCACAAATTACCTCCAGAGAACAATTGCTCTAAACTTCTTAAAAGTCTCATCAAATAGTAATTTTGTTTTTGATAAAATTAATATACTATTTCGATGGTGTTCTGATAGAAATTCATCTGTCTGTGAAATATGTGTTACTTGGCAGTCAACGTGTTAATTACAATACCAAGTATCAGGATGTTGAAAAATGTGAAAGAAGATCGATCAGTATTCAAAGTATTCCTCAGCTCTGCACACGTATACGCATATAAAATATATAATGTATCATATACGCATCTAGATGTACGAGACGCTAAGGTAAACACTGCCAACGAGTAATCTCTGTAACGTTAAAGGTTCTCATAATCATAGCAAATATGACCATTCCCTAATTTAATGTACACCCCCTCCTTCGTCGTATCGAAGGCACCGTGAGAAGAGATCGAAGCTTTTGGCTATCGATTTCTTTTCCACTACGAGCCTACACATTTTGCAAGAGTCCCGAACGTTGTCGTCGATTTTTCGAAATTATTCCTTTCTTTTTTAACTTTTCTCTGGAAAGGATGATCCAACGATCAAAAAGGGTTAATACGAATCTTGAAACACGAGAGAATATAATTGATAGGGGGAATCGATCGACGAGCAACGTTCGCTTGCAAACGTCCTGAATGTTCAGATGCTTCCTAAATGTTCGCAGTAATAGGCCAAGGAATATTCTTGTAATATAAAGTACGTTAGGAACATACCTTGCAGCCACTTCGCTGACATTTCGTAAATCATTATTCAATTCTGACGAGTTCTGACTGTGTGCTCTCATATCATTCGCCGATCGAATCTATCAGGTGTTGCGATTGTCAACCCTCAAGTAATTATTAAACTCTTGCCTCGTGAATTATTTGCCTTTAGTGATTCAGTATTTTATATTTAGTTATTGATCACTCAAACGACAGGAGTATAAAACTTTAGTCTTATAAAGTCTTGAATTTTGTAATTTATGTCTGATATATTAATGAAAATTTCATTATTCTATGGATAGGATTTATTTCATGGTGTTTACGAGGCAACGGGTTTAAAGAGGAGAACAAAGGGTTGGCAGAACACCCAGACTGAAAAAAAAAGAAAAGAAAAGAAAAGGTGTTTTTTAACAAAGCGACCTATTATATACGTCTGATGTCTAGTCATACACGGTGGGAACGATATAAGCGAGCAGCGAACGCAAGATCCATTTTTAAAACGAAAAGAAAACGACCTCTCATATCCCTACGCGTTTTTGTAATCGATTTCTTTTTTACAGTATTTTGTAAATATTTGTACTTTTTTATCTACATCGTACTTACGAATCTTTGAAATAGTATGTGCTACGATTAAATAAAGGTGGACAAAAATGAAGACGTTTGTAATACTTACCCCCTAAAGCATAAATTCCTGTTTCCTGTTGCGTCGTACCACATTTAATCTAATTATAATAATTAGATAATTAGGTTCGCCCGAGCCCGTAATTCCTATAATTATATTTTATTTCACACCGCATAATCTGCACCGAAGAAGGAGAAGAAAGCACTGGAAAAGGACTGCAAAGGTTGAATAATGGCAACTGGAACAATGGCAGTCTGAAATGATGAAACATCGTCGTATTACCTAATCAAATTTATTTTTACTTAATATTTCGTGGTACAGTCTATGTCTATTACGATATATAAAATAACGTAGTCGTCGAATGTAAATAGGTAAAACGAAAGAACCGTTCTCGTAAACGCCGACTGAACAAGCGCGGCCGGAAAAGAAAATAAGTCGAGTCAGAGGCAGTCGTACTGTGATTATTAAATACTTTATGTATATTTATATTTATATATATATTTATATATATATTTCCGTATATGTATAGGAAATCAACGTGTATACGAAGAGAAAAACCGATAAACGCAGTTCGACGCGAAGAGTATGTTTTTAGTAATATTTATATATTTATATATAAAGTCTAATGAATTACTTAATCCGTTACTTAGTACTTAATTCATTAATATAGTAGCAGCCTCACTCTCTAAATAGTACTAAATATAATAATGGTATTAATGCGGTAATTATCGTTAATATAGATTATTAACATTACAAATAATCATCGTCAGAATCGTATAATAAACAATAGTACAAGGTGTTTTTTCTGCTTTTAGTGGTTTCTTCTTTTTTCTTTTTTTGTTATTTTCTTTAAATGTTATCATATAAGTAATAATCACAATAGCGTATTCTGAAAAATAGATCAGGGTCCCGTGGGCAGAGAGCGGAGCACTTTGTCGTTCCTCAAATCCATTCCCTTCAAAATATTCTCAACATTGAGACATCTTTTTTCAAATAAATCACCTTCACGAGCGATCGTACCTTTTCCAATTCATCGATACATAAAAAGAATTTTCTGGTATCATTGAGAACCTTTTTAAAATCTATCGAAAAGAGAAAAACAAATCTCAAATCAAAGTTTTCGTTCCAGAATAAAAAGAAAGGACTTTGAAATTCATCCTCGTATTTTCTCCCCCTACCGTGTGTACTTTACCCTTCGACAAGCTCGTTTTTCCTCTTTTCAACCCTTTCGTTTTTCATTTTTCGATCATGTCTCTGCCGCTCTGCCTAGGGAACCCACTATAACAGGGCACTATGAACAGCAGTCTGCTGGCTAAGTGACTTTCCGAATCTACAATCGCTCCTCTTCATTCTCTCACCCTCGCTCGCCACCCTCTCATTCTATCTCACACTCTCCCTTTCTCTCTATCTTCCTCGATTAATCCTTATTCTCCATCTTTCGTATCCATTCTCCACGAGCTTTCTCTCCGGCTCGCTCTCCCTTCCTCGTCATACCCCGCATCCGGTTCTTCGCTAAGTTTCACCGAGCTTTACATCCCTCGCGAGAATCCTGTTCTTCCCTTTTTTTTTTTTTTTTTTCTTTAATAGCGAACTATGTCAGGCATAACAGACGCAATACGGTAATGGAAAGGAGTCTTTTTTTCTCTCTGGCTTTCTCTTAGCTCTTTCTTTATGGCAAAGCAAGTGTCGCGAGACGAAATTGTCTTTGTCGTTATCGATCAGGACACCGTCCCTACAGATTTCTGGACCTTCTTTTTCTTGCCGCGTAAATTTAAAAGTTTACAAGTTTGTAAGTACATAGGAGCAAAAATTGTATTTTCGAAGGTAAGACAAGGAATCGGGAAAGCGAGCCATTCATCTCGGAATTGCACAAAAGCACTCGCCGCCAGCATGCTTCTCCTATGTCAGCATTCACACTACGTGTCAGCCGATAGTAAATCACTACAGTACCTTTTTTTCGCGTTATGATATTTTTTTTTTTTACTTTACTTTTTTAATTATCATTATCATTATTATTATTATTTTTTTTTTTAAATTTGTTCGTTAATATTAGACGTGCCGTGTCTCTACCGTCAGCCTACTGCGAAAAAACACTACTTATCTCTCGTTCTTTCATCATTTTCCATACCTTTCTCTCTATCTTTCTTTCGTACTTTCACTCGTTCATCGATCACTCTCCTCTGCGTTTATAAAGAGTATTATTATAATATAATTCTCGTGTCGTTACAATATAATTATCGGCAATAATATACCGTCGGTATTAATGCAGTTATTATTAGTATTATTAATATTATCATTAATTATTATTCATCCTCCCGGTTACTATATATTCTTTTTTTAAAAATCGATTACGACCCCTCTTGTGGCGAACCTCGTGCCGAGGAGCGCCTTGAACAAATGGAATTTCTCGCGGCATTGGAACGTCGCGTGAAAAAATTTCTCTTTCTCATTTCTCCCATACATACTGATTCGCATTCTCTCATCGTCTCGAATCGCGCAAGAGCGAAAGGCCCTTTCGTTCCCTTCTTAGTTTCCTCCTCGAATCGTGACTCCGTTCGTTCCATCGAAAAGAAGAAAATCAGATATTTCTGTCCCTTTGCGACGCGGCCGTTTTAGGTAGCCCGTTTTTTTTTTTTTTCTTTTTTTTTTCGCCGTACTAAAGAACCGGGAAGAAAAAGTTTACAAGACAGGGGAGAGTTTGCAAGAATTACGCGACTGAACGACTAAAAATTACGCCGCTTAGTTCCTTGTATAATTGACAGTGGATGTGCTCGGCCGTGCAAAGGGACAGAAATGTCAGCGCGGGTAAAAAAGGGAGGCGAATTAGTCGAGATTGAACGGAGAGCAGTTCGGCTGTTTCGTGACGGACGAGGACGTAAATTCTACGATATTTCACGAGTTACGCGAACACGCTCCAAAAAGGAACCGCAGTGTCGTTAACAAAGCGCTACGAGTATCGACTAATCGGCCTCGATTTTTCTTAATTGTTTTTTTACAGGTTGATCAAACGCGCCAGAGTCGCATATTTCGAAGGATTTTTCCACAAAGCTCTTGCTCTTTCGTACTTTCTTACTTTCATTCGCATACTCTCTTTCTCTCACACACACACTCGCACACATACACGTACGCACACACAGTTTCGCGGTTTATTTTGTTGAAAGGGTGGCGACACGTTCACCCCCTCTTGGTATGCCGCGCGCACACCCCTTGGCCGAATTTCTTCTTTTGTTTCTCTATCAGTTACAGTAAAAAATAGCGTAAACGGCACTGTATTAGGAAGAAGCAAAATACGTGTTATGTTCTCGTTACTTTGTCGTTGATAATAAATACCTATATAGTGTCCTTCGTTTTCTTTCTTTTTCTTTTTTCCTTTCTTTCTTTCACCCTTTTTAAAAATCACCATCCGGCATTATCGCGATCTTTTATTACTTCCCTTTCTTTTTTTTTTCTTTAGTTAACAGTATGATTATTACTTGGTAGTTATCGGTAATTATTAATTAGCGTTAGATGCGGTAATCAGCGCAACGAACGAGAACCCGACAGTCGTAGTGAAACATATTTCATTCTTTTTACCGGGGTGGATTTCGTGCGTAGAAGAACCTAGGGCTCTCGTTCTTTTACTTAAATCCCGTTTCTTTCTCTTTTTCATTCACACTCTATCTTCTTCTCTGGCAAAACCAAGAGGAAACAGAAGAAGAGAAAAGAAACGAATGATCCGCGTACAATGTCAGACTATTTTATACGTGTATACGCATTCTCTCTCGCTCTCTCATTCCTCTCATCTAAATCGCTAACTTTTCTCGCTCGTGTTCTGTTTCTTTTTGTTTCTCACTTAATTACAAAGCGCGAAAAAGAGCGGTCCCGATCGTTTCGCGATCCTACCGATCGGTTTACCTCGCACTCTTAACAATTTCCCCGAACGATGTCACTCGTCCAAGGATTTACACGAAATCTTGATCGACGTATCGCGAAACGATCGACACCGGAACCCTTTTTCAGCGATGGCTCAACGCTAGTAGTTAAATTTTTCATAACTTTAGGTACTAATGTGTTTCATCTTTATCATTCTTCCCTCTTTTAACCCCCACCCCCCCCCCTCTTCGCTTACAATTTCGTACAACGTTTGCCTATCATGTAAAACTATGACGTCTAAAATGTGTTCGAATTAACGCTAGATCCTCGATATTAATAATCAAGATCGGATAAATTAATAGTCGTTAATAACCGTGTATGTATCCAACTAGGCTAGACTTCGACGGAAAAATATATTTATAAAAAGTTATAATATTAATATACGTTTCAAGCGTTCTATATATATATATTTTTTATTTATATTTATATTTATTTATATATTTATATATTTATATATATACCGTTTGCTAATCCTCTACTTATGTCTAAGCTTTCATCGTCAAATCTCTTGTCCCATACATGCTTGCGTTCTCTAATCGGAGACGTTCCCTATCAAAACGTGGACGCTCCGAGTATCTACCTAATTTTTTTTTTTTATCAATTTATAATCGTAATAATAACTGGCTAAACTTTTCCACGCTCAAGCACACGCGCATTCTCTCTCGTTTCCATCTTCTATTCTTTCTTCCTTCTTCGCTTCATCTCGTGCTCTACCTTTAGAAATGTACAGACCCCAAAAAGGAAAGTAAAAAAAAAAAATTTCGGGCTCTTCTAAGCGATTGAAATGAAATAATGCATGAAAATCATCGCGTCCCGCTTCTCGCGACGCATCGACAACGGAAACTTTTTTGGTAGTTTTTTTTTTTTTAGGAAAGGTTTCTCTTTCTTTGAATTCATTCAATTAACCATCATTGGAAGAAAAAAAGAAACAAAAATTCGCTCACGCAACAAACGACTCTGCGAATCAATCTTCTTTTTTCTTTGTTTTTTTTTGTATTTTGGATGGAATCCGTTCCTTATTGGCTTTTTCTTAACACGAACGCGCGAGAGCTTCTTTGAACACGTTTAACATCGTCGAATTCTCCCTCCCCCGTTTTGTCCCTTTTTAACTTTTATTACAAGTATTATCAACGTTCGTTTTAATAATATTTAGATTATAGAATTCTGACCTCTTTACCACAATTTTCCCACCCTTATTTCCATTAACTTTGTCCCATGGTTTTATTGTTCCAAGCTGCTATCGTTTCGAAAAATATCTCTCGCAGCCTTTCATGCATTACTTGATTCCAACGTTCACCGTTTCCCTCGATTCTTTCGTTTGATCGTTTGAAATTGATCTGACCCCTCGTTTACACCCCCGTTTCTTGCGGTTAAAAGTACGAAAAATAGCAAGTTTAATCTCGCAATGAACACATAAAATGGAGGTAAGTATTATTAGCCCCTTGCCTATAACCTTGAGCGGCATTCGCGTTTCATATTATACTCTAAAATAAATGCTATTCGTGGCGTAATTAAATTTTTAATTAAAATTTCAAATGCTATTAACGACGCCGACGGTTTCCAAAGAAAAATTATGTACAGTATTTCAAATATTCCCGTCTGCTCTCGCGTTTAAGCAACGAATTAGGACTGGGTTAGGTTTGTCCTGTTGCTAATAATAATTCTAGCGCGCTCAAGTGCAATAAAAATCGAGAGGCCAAGGGGTTAATCGTAAAAATGGGGCAGTAAACGTGTAAAGGATAGAAATTCGAAAAGGAGGCGTGAACGAAGGGTAAAAGAACTGGTGTGTTAGTTCTGAGGCCGTTTCATTGCCTTCGAACCTTTTCTTGCGGTTCGATTTTGTGCGAGGGGCCCTTCAACCATCCCTAAACGTATTGTGCGCCTCTTCAATTATCATCATCATCATCATCATCATCACAATGACCAACGGGTGTGTCTAGTTTACGAGTAATATCTTTGGTATCGTGCCTGAGTCTTCCATTCGCGAATAAGATCACGTAACAGGGATGTTTCAGTTGAACCTTAACCGGAATAAAACGCGAATCTCGTTTTCGTCGTATCAAACTTAGAAAAACGTTCGTACCTCGTCGAACGACGCGAGAAAGCAAGCCGTTAAAAATACGCTACCTACACCGGAGGTACATACAATCGGATATTTTTCTTTTCATTTTTTTCGTTTTTTTTTTTTTTTTTTTTTTTTCTGCAAACGACCAGAACAATGTCGGCTCGATTATACATGGCAGCTTTGAAACGTGTGAAATTTCCACGCCTTCAGTCTATACGCGTGTTCTATGTGTGTGGGTTCAGTGTCTCTGTGTGTGGGTGCGTGTACGTGTAAATCGAGTTCCCTTCTATCGTCAAACTGTCGCTTCGCAAGTAGAATGCCAGATTTCTTCTACCCTCTTTTATTCAAATTTTAATCACTCTTTTTCTTCCTCGTAAACCTTCCTGACAATTTTCAAAATCCCAGGAGCCCTTCACGGCGATTTTTTCGAAACCTGCATTCGTGGCTCGCGAAACCGGAGATTAATTCTGTTCGAAGGAACGCGATGAATATTTGTACTGTGTCGAGAAAGGAAACCACGTTCGATGCCGATCTAAATGTTACTCTAAGAACGGATAGAGGGACCCGCCCTTTTCGGGGAATCTTTTCAGTCTTACCGTTTCAAGGGGGTCAGTGTGATAAGGGCGGGTCTTCGTTTTCTCGATTCAGAGCATCGATCTATCGATCGAGTAACCGATGAAATCAGTAACAACACTCTGCCAACCGATCGGTTAACGATAAATTTGAAATGAACGTTTCCTGTTATTCAGCTTTTAAATACCCGATACGGTTGGCAAAGTGATCAGGAGAAATCTAGTGACAAGCGTACCTGTCCGTTTGTCGTGTATACTCGGTGTATCGTGTGCGTGTCGAACAGGAATAAATAAAAAGAAAAAAATAGAGTCATTCAGGTGTGCATCCCTCTTGCTGTACACCGTCTCTTCATCTCGCTTTCTCAACCCTCTTTCTCTGAACGCCTAGAAAAACACCTCGTGTCATATAGTATATATCACATACGCGTTACTTCTAAACACACTGAAATAAGAAGCACTTTAAGATAGATGTCTACGTGTACCATCGGGCCCAAGATCTCTTAGATGGACTGATTTTTCTTTCCATTATCTCCCATCTGCCGCTCATATAACTTTTAAACCGTTGTATATGTTATTTTATCTTTTTTTTTCTTTTCTTTGTATATACGTATTATTTACATACAAGCCTCGTGTGCTTTCGCTCCTCTCTTTCTTCTTTCCTTCTCTTTCTCTCATTTCTCTTCATGTTCCTTCGTCGAAGGAAGTCTCTCTCCTTGCTCTCCTCTCGTATATGTGCAGCCGATGAAATGCGCGTTTCCGAAAGGTACGACAAAAACTTAGGAATACTCTCGACGGTATCTGAACTGTTTCTCTCGGACCGCGGTAAGAGAGTCTTTGTTTTCGATCAACCGAGCCATCCCCAAAAGGCAACGTGGCGATCTCCGCGATCGGTACAGGGTGCAAACGATCGCGTTCCTACGGTCACGGTGTCTAGTCCGATAATAAATACACACGCATACACAAGTTTCCACCTTCCTCTAATTATCCGTTTCCTCGTCGACGAGCGAAATTTCCTCGTTACCTCGATCGAGCAAGACACCCAGATTCATCCGTTACGCAATTTCAAGAGGCACGCGATAGTATTACGCGAACAATAATGGCACTGTCGATCACTCGCGTTAAATATTACAACATTAGAAAAATCGCAAGTCGAGTCCGACGATAGTCTCTTTTAATTGACTTCACGAGAAGAAACCTTGCCGTAATACTATAGACGCGCTTTATTTTTCGGGAGGGAACGATCGATTTAAAAAATCGACGGAGATCGCGACGTCGCTGGTTATCCTGTCGAATTCTCTGCTCGTAGAAACGCGAGAGAATTCTTCCATGTTATACTCCCGTCGGTCGTGACTCTCGTCGCGCCGTAGACGACACCTGACCGTGTGAAATGCAACGAAAACGAGGACTGTAAGCGAACGAACGCAAGGAACTTGCAACGAAACGGAAAAATTCGGGAACGTGTTTGAACGTGCCGCGGCGGGTCTCGGGTAATCGAACCGCGCGCGTTTAATTACAAAGGATCGCAACGAGCAGTTGGCCCGTAGTACGGTGTGCCGGCTGCTGGCGTCGCGTAACAAGAAGCAGAGTACGACGGCGGCGGTGAGGAGGCCGACACCGACGACGACGACGACTATGAACGATAAATGAAACTGCACGGCGGTGTTGGCGGCGGAGGGGAACCACCGCTCATGGCGATCGGTACGAGGGTGGGCGATGGTGACGAGGAGGGAGGTGACGGAGAACTGGACGAAACGCTTGAGGGCGGCGTAGGTGATTCTAGCGCCCTCGGGCCCGCGAGCTCGCGATTCGACTGTCCTCCGGACGTCACAGCGCGACTACTCCTTCCCGCTGTCGTCGCGTTGTGACGATTGCGTGCTGGCCGTCCTAAGCTCCGGTGACGGCCACCTCCCTCCTCGCTCGTTTCTCAGAGATAAACCTTCTTCACGCTACGGGTGGTCGCGAACCCGTCGTTGCGCCGATACGCGTCGCCCTGGTGGGACCGTAAGGTACCGAAATTATCCCTCGGGCCACGGAACCCGTAACCGTCGGGAAATTGGAACAGCGTTTCCGTCGGTGTTGGTGGTGGTTTCCGCATCGTGCCCTTCGGTGAGTGTGACTTTGGAGGCTGGGGAACCAACACCGGCTCCGCGTACGTCACTTCTTCCTGAGGCAACAATTTTGGCTCTGGCGCTAACCTGCTGTAACGTAAAACCAGGGGTTGGAAAAAGTTACGATATTTACATATTTTCTATGATACTTTGTCTTTTAACGTAATCAAAAATTTAATTTTATCGTCGTATCGATTCCTTGTATCTTGCATAAGGTTACAGGATGGCTTTTCTACTTTCAGCCGTTAGAAATACATGAATATTTGTAATCTAGTTACAAGTGACAGACATTTCAATCTATATCGGTTTCGATTACGGTTTCTATATTGGTTCTAGAATCAAGATTCCTGTCAATTTTATAACGACTGAAATCATTACATATTACAGATGGAAATTATTATTATTTCAGGTTCCATGTATTTGTTTCATATACAGGGTGTTAAAAAATACTTTGAAGATCTCTATACCGCTGCATAGATCACGAAAAATCGAAGCGAAAAGTTCTGTAGCATTTTTCGAAGGGATCACTAGTTTAGCCACATTTCGTTGTTGAAAATTGACCAATCAGCGCGCAGCTTGAGTGGTAAGACCCGCGGAGTGGGAGGCGCTTACGCATGCGCTGAGAGTCTTGCCACTCAAGCTGCGCGCTGATTGGTCAATTTTCAACAACGAAATGTGGCTAAACTACTGATTCTATCGAAAAATGGTACAGGACTTTTCGCTTCGATTTTTCGTGATCTATCCAGCGGTGTAGAGGTCTTCAGGGTATTTTTTAATACCCTGTATAATAGTTATTAACAATCATTTTTGGAACCGTTTCAGCCTTTGTTTGAAAAAAAAACTGAATTTCATCGAGACGTCGATGAAGAACCCCTTTTCAGTTTACTTTGATGGTAACTCACCTGTTCACGTTTTGTCGTTGCTCGAAATATTCGTACTCCGTGTCTGGGTATGGCAGATTGTCGTCCTCGTCCTTTCTGCACTTTCTGCCACACAGATAACCTGCCACGAAACCGACCAGCAAAGCTGCCAATGCACCAGCCACAACAGCCATTACAAGAGTTTCAACCGAGTACTGCGGCGGCGGTGAGTCTGCCGCGGACACTTCTGGACCTGTACCGATTGATCGTTTCACCAGTGAAATGCATGCACAGGGTGTCTGAGAAACAACCTTACCCGTACGAAACAATGAACATACCTGAATTATCCTGTTCCTCGTCGTGCATGATGTTGATGATCTCTCCTCCGGGACTGTCTTTGTTGGGGATCATCGAGTCCTGGGGGAATTTATTCTGGTTCGCAGATATGGCACCGACGCTACCCGCGTCCTTGTTCAGACTTTTGCTCGGGGGGCAAGAAGCGTGCAAACCAGTCGCGACGCTCTGGAGGAATCTGCTCGCATCGGTGGCTGCTGGCCCGACCAGGGCCCTGCACTTGCCCTCCACCTTGTCCCAGGCACAGTAGGGATCCTGTAAGGCCACGCACTCGCCGCACGACAAGATCCTGTCGCTGTAGCACCGGTGCAGCCTGAGGGCCTGTACCTGACTATCGGCTATCACGACCAGCCGGCCATCCTCCAGGCCGTCTCCAGCTTGAGATGCTCTCACCACTTTGATACCGCGCACCGGGACCGTCGAAGGAAACGCCTGTATCTCCTCGATCACCACCGGGCTGACCTTCAGATGAGTGTCAGCTGACTCTGCGTTTATCGCTTTGATCACCTTCCCGTTGTCGGTGCCGATGAACAACACGTCGTACGTTTTACCACCTGGCGTCTTCACCTGGGGATCCACAGCGATCTGCGTGAATCTGTAACTGAGAGGTCCAAGAAATCGTTAGGGAATCGTTTTCCATCGCAATCTACGGAGGTAAGTTTTCGCTAGGAGTAAACAGTGGACGCGTAGCGTATGCCCGCAAGGAACAGGGCGTACAATCGAATCGAGCCTCGGGTGACCTGGTCTCCAAGTTTGACCACCGTACTAGTTATTTCATTAAGTAACGTCGCTCAAGCCCGCGAGTATAAAGCGTGTTTGTTATTCAGTAACGAGCCTTGAGTTTCAATACTTTAATCGACTGTGGACCTTTCTCCGTTGACCCAGCCTACTTACGAAAACTCGATAGAAATTCAAGTAACTTCGACAATACACGACCGACTTTACACAGTGAAATTCAGAGCTTATAATAGCGATGATATTTGTTGTTACAAACAGTTTACAAGTGTTCCAACTTACTGAAAGCTGGTGCGGATGACTATGGGCTGCCCGAAGAAACTCGGCACCAGCTCGTCCATGAGGGAGTGCGTATGGATAAAGTTGAGGGTCAGGTCAGGCAATGCGTGAGAATCGTTTACGCATTGTCCGGGTCTCGGGTCGGGTACCTTGGCGTTCTGCACGGGTAACCAGTTCGAGTTGATGGCGCTCTGCTCCTTGAAGTTACCCCTGAACGCGTCGGTGATGTCCTGCAAGGAGAAAGCGCAAACAGCCGATCCGCTGATGCTGTTCACCGGTGTGGTGAACGTTCCGTATATCAGCTGGGCCGACGTATTGCCGTACTGACCCGATATCAGTTCCGTCGTTGATTCTGCAAATAATGCATGCCTCGTGATTTCGAGGCTCTTTTGTCTGCGTGGCCTCGTTCGCTCCGTACCAACGGACGTTTACGAGCTAACCCGTTGGGAGCATATATTTCCCAGCATCTCTCTCTCTCTCTCTCTCGTACGTGTTCCAGAGCGCCATAACGCTTAAAACGCTCGCACGGTTCGAACACGCTCGTTCGCGAGCGAAACGAGACGAGACCAGAGATGTATGCTGATGGCAAACGATGAACTCGACGAATGTGTATACTTACGTATTTCATTGAAGTAGAAAGGAAAGTCTCCGGTGACGGAGCAATTGAGACGGGACTTTAGGAACGAGGTCCATCTGTTGCGGTATCGATGCGGACCACCACGGTCGTATTTACACACCCTCGCCACGCGAGAATAGACGGTCTGCAAAGAGAAATAGTATCGGTGAGAGAACTGTCACTTCGATCGACCAGTTAACCCTTTAGCTGTAACGAAGCTTAAGTGAAAATCGATCCTGTACAATTATTAGCAGCAAAAGGGTTAGAAGCTCCGTATTACAAGAATTTATAATTAGACCATAATCACACAGTGCCGTCCGTCTGACAATGAGTAACGCGTAAAATGTTGCACACCACACGATGTGTAACTGAAACGTACAGAATGTTATTACCAGATAAAACTTAATAATGCACCGTACATTAAACCGTACTTTATGGTCGGGGTCGTAAGTTTTATGCGTGCCACAGTGTACTTGCAAGGGAAAAAAAGCAGATAGTCTTCTTTTGAATACAGAATCCTGGACAGCACTGGATTGAAGCATTGATAATTGATCGGTTAGGTACTTACCTTGCCGCAATTGATATATTCCACGGCGGTCTCCCTGAAGAAGAAATAGACAAAATCTCCCTGGGCCATGGAGCTGACAAAGTTCGGCGCTGCAATTAGAATGCGCAGGCATTATAACGTTGCTATTGCTATTACGTACGCGGTAAACGGACGGTCGTAAAGTGGCCTTATGAATAAACGAACGTGATAACTGGCCAGAGAAGCACAATGGACGAGCTGCAATAAAGTGCAGAGATAACGTTCCACTGTAGCTAGGGAAATAAAGACGTTCCTTAGGAATTCAGCATCTTGATAGAAGGTAGGTCGATTTCTCGACGTATTCGAAAGGATAATCCTCGCTCGAATGGTTGGAACGATCGTGCGGCATGCGTTGTCGTTAGAATCAATCTTGCAAACGAGTCGCGTAAGATTATACGCGAGAACCCTTTTATTTTCTCGGTTATTCGAACGCGGTCGCACTGAAACGACACGGTTCACCCTCTCCGCCCCTGTCTCTCAATTTTTCTCTTCGTTTCCCCTGTCCTCGTTGCACTGCTTGGCGGACACGAACGCGCGATAAAGTGGGAAAACTTTATCGATTTATTAACTTGACAGGGTTTTCATAAGCTTCTTAGGATTCATAAAGTAATATTAATCTCGCACGCCACATAGGTATATCCGACCGACCTGCCGTGCTCCAACTCATAAATTTTCTCCCGTTCTTCTCCTCTCTCCGCTCTTTTCGTTTCTCCTCCAATTCCATCACGTCATCCGGCTGTCTTTTCTTTCTCGCCGCGTTTAACCGTGTCTCTATCCGAGACAAACTGGCAGGAATTTGTACGGGCCTAACGCAGTGCCGGGAAAGTTTTAACGCCCCTTTAAAATTGTATAACCCGTGTCTACGGTTCGGTCGTCAAAGCGTTAATCAAGAGATACCCGCGAAAGGTAAAGGAAAACGGGCGATGATAATAAAGATTGAAGCGGAGAAAGTTAATTGGAAAAGCGAAGCATCGAGGGCAATCAGCGTATCGATTTGGTATTAGACGAATTACCCAGACGCATCAACGCGGAGATTTGCGGGTGATAGTCGCGGTTCGCGATCGGCTTTGTCACGATTTTTCGCGGTGGTGTGCTTCGGTTTATTTCGTTGGTAACAAACGGCAGATAGAGGAACAGAGGAGGGAGAAAGAGACGAGCAGAGAGAGAATTGAATTTTCAACGAACCGAGGGAAAATCAATATTATCCAGCGGCCAGAGAAACTTGATTAGCGTTCGTACATCGTTCAATTAAAATGTTCTAGCGAACGAGGGAAGCCATGGAACAAGGCGACGTGTCCGGTTTATCGGTCTCTTTTGTGGGCTCGTGGTGATCTCGTAAAAATTTCCCGTTTCTTCGCGTCATCCCTCGGTAACCAAACTATAATTCTTTCTCGACGGTGGCTGGCTCGAATAAAAATTCGACCTTTCGACGAATTCGCAAGGGAGCCATAACTCGCACAGCTCTTCGTCTTAATACAGGCTCTATCATGATACGTGGGCATAACAAATAAGAAGGCTTACTATTTCCTGCCTTTTATTAACCAATCTGGTATTTTAACGTCGTTTTTATTCTCTTTCATGGAAAAATATTTCCACCATCGTTTTTTAACGATGCGACGATCACGAGGTTAAATTCAATTTTTAAGGAAACAAGCAGCATCAGCGGAAATAGAATCCGAAATCTCTGCATTCGCAGTCAGATCTTATCCATTACAGCATCGCTAACTCGCTATCGTATATACCTACTTTCACGACCCCTTTTATTGCGTAAGGGAGGAGCTCCTGATCCAACAATGTTAGAGATAAGAAAACACAAAAGCTCTCATAACAATGTACGATGTCGATGAAGTGCAAAGGGTTAATAATAACAATCGAGAAGGAGAAAAGGCTTTCAGGCAGAGTCGTTGAACCGTCGGACAGGTCGTTCTTTTATACGGATTAAAATTTCCCATCGTCGGTGCTACATGGGAGACGTATGTAGCATATTTCGCGGTGAACGAGGGTAGAGACGCAGTGTGCTGCTTTGTCATTACACGGATATGGAGGGGAGGTCGTGGAGTAATCTCCGCGAGGCCGTAGTCTGCGAAATCCACGTACACGCACGGTTAATCTCGGAATTACAGCGTGTGGATTAAAGCCGGTGCGCGGAGGGTCGTTGCCGCGGCCGATCGCGACATTTCTGAGTAATTTCTCGCCCCGTGGCTCGGGGCCAGGATTTTCAAAGTCGAGCCTGCCTCCGGAACTTCTCGTGTAAATACCGAATCGAACTGTCGCTCCAACTTTCGCGAGCCCCTGGCGAATATTGCGAACCCCGCTCTGTTCAAAGTCTCTTTATGTTCCGGGAACGTATCCCCGCATGTACGCGTGGCACGCATCGTTTGCATAAATAGCGAGTAAACGTTTTCGAGATACACCACCGCGAATAGTAAAAGTACGCTTGAAATCTAAGTGTAGGGGAGAGCGGGGACAAAAATAAATTTTTTATGTACAATGCGAAATTACGATTAAAGTACACGCAAATATGTTTTAGCAACATAGATAGGAAATTAATATATTAGATAGTGAACTAAATGACATTTGACACCCTAAAATAATACAAAATATTTCTTAGGCAAGTGCTTATCCTTTCTTTTAATCTTTCATTTCACTCGTTTCAAAGTAATTAAGCGTCTCGTTAATGAAAATTTGTAATGTAAACCCAAAAGCATAGTCGAGCACGTTTGTAACATCGGTAGTCGGGGTCGGTTGTAACGTTTCTGGTAACCAAAAACATAAAAAATATTATTTTTTTGTTTATATGAAATCCTACAATACGAGAAAACAAAATGAAAAATATGGGTGCTATGTAGTGAATACAAAGATTGGGCACATGAAACTAAAACGTTCCTTGTATTTTCTGCGATACCGAATAATTCACTACAAATTTTGCCTTTTTTCATTTATTATTATAATTTAAAACAATAAATATTTTAGTTTTGTAAAGATAGATTTGTGTTAGTTATAATTCCATGCAGTGTTACAATCGACCATCATTATAACTTGAATATTATTTGTTATAAAGCGAAATTGCTGTAACTCAATAATATCAAATAACTATGTAAGGTTTATGTATAAAGACTTTTTTTTAAGTACAATAGCTTTTGCTTACTAATAGTTGAAAGTTAAATGTTACATTTGTCCCCGTATTCCCGTACGTAATTCAGAAACAAGCTATCTTCGGTAAAATTGTTTGTAATAAAACACTTTTGGGATAACTACGAATGGAACGTTTCGTGAATTTTTTCCCTCCGTTTCATCTATAGCGAATGAAAAGTTCTCCCCTATCGTTGATAGCAGGGGGTCGGCCAATATATGGAACGATAAATTTCCACTACCAAAAACACTTGGGCTGTTTACTCTGCATACTGGTCGGGACCGCACAACCCTTATTTCAATTTTTAATCGCGCGTTAACATCGACGTTTCTGGCTTCGATTCATCATCGCGACCCTTATCGTATCGTTTTCCAATAAGATGATTTAGGTTCTAAATGTTAGGGGACACTCTCCGACCGATTTTAATTTCAAAAAAGGTTTCGAGTATAACACGGTTTATATATCTAGGTGGGTCAGGCGGAAATTAATTTGATAAAGTAATCGGTATTTCGCTTACCGTTCAGGCTCTTCGAGTCGTACTGCTCAGTTTGCAGGGGTTCCCTGTAGATGATGGGATCCATCCCTGCGAAATCTGCCACTGTACCGGTGTAAAGCTCCCCGTCTACGTAGACGAAGGTACTATTGTGACGTGGGTCGTAGGGACACCTTGCCTGTCCACCCTTCTCCTTCAACATCGTGTAATTGCCTGGCTGCACCGCGTAATCGCGACACATTGGCTTGAACGCGTTCGTCGCGCACACCAGCAACGTGCTCGTATCTGTCTTCACGAGAATGCGAATGTAATTTTGACAGTTTTCCTCGGGCGTGCCCTTAACCAGGCACATTTTTACGTCGCTGTCGGTCGAGTACCAAGTCAGCCTCTGCTGCTCGGTTAGGTCGGTCAGACTCAGGTTGTGCACAAGATTTCTGAAATAAGAAAAACAAAACTCTCTAATCGATGCATTCGTTCTTAAGTGAGAGGCACAACTGAGTAGACACTGTTCAAAATAGAATACCTTGGTTAAAATTGAACTAAATAACTTGAGGTTTTCTGAAAAGTTATAAAAATTAATTCACTAAAAAATTATAATTTGTTGAAATCGGGAAAAAAAATAGTGAATGGTAATTTTTCAACTTTTTTATGTAAGTCCATAATGAAAATTTCATCAAGATCGGTCAACGCTATGAGTAATTATAATTTCCGAAAATCGCGACTTTTCATCTAAAAGAATGTGAATAATTTCGTTATATAGACTCAATTTTCATTATAAAAAAGTTGAAAAATTACCATTCACTATTTTGTTTCATGACTTCAACAAATTGTAATTTTTTAAAACGAAGAAAATTTTAGTGAATTAATTTTTATAGCTTCTCAAAGAACCTCAAGTTATTTAGTCCAATTTTAACCGAGGTATTCTACTTTGAATAGTATCTACTCACTTTTGCCTCTCACTGTATATCACTTCGACATTCACTCAACTACTTTGAATCAGCATCCCGACGCTCGCTCTTTTTCTCGACTTTCCCAAATATTTCTCCCGTTCGATCTACAATCTTTTTCCACCGAAGGATACTACCGATCTCGCATTAATCACCCTGCCACCGTCCTTTTACTTTGTGCCCCGTTATCGCCGGAATCGATCGATTCTCCAGGAAACGCGGCACAGTCCCGTCGCGTCGCGTCGAATCGACGGCAAAAACGTCGATCGAAAGACCGTGAGCAACGGAACCGCGGAGAACTCGAGCAGGAATCGTTTATTGCAAACGGAGCAGGATTTATGAGGCGCGAGATTAATATTCGGAGAAAAGGAGAGAGAGAAATTTTCTAGAAATCAACCGGACTTTGGGATTTGAGACTCTCGACTTGCCGGATTGGCAAAACAAGGACTTGAAAATTTTTGTTCTGTCAATTTCTATCGATGAAAGTTCGAAGGGACTTTATTTTTCTTTTATTTCTCCCTTTTTTCGACCTAAATATTTCGTGGAAACGCGCTTCAGGTTTCTCGTTGCATATCGTGTTTTAATTACGAATTTCGTCTCCTCCATTCCGTATCAGAAACTTTTACAAAGTTCCTCGGCAGGAAGTCGCACTTACCCGCTGTGCCTGGGATTCGAAGGCTCGTAAAATAAAGCGTACAAAGAAGTTTCTAAATAAAGTTCGACGATCTCATTAACAGCGAAGAACAGCGTTCCGTAGCCGCTCTCGGCATTCATAGCCAGCAAGGAGGAAAGTAGAAATCGAGGGAGAAGGACAAGAGAAGGAAAAAAGGGAATAAGGAAGAAGAAGAAGAAGAAGAAGAAAATCTGTAGAAACTAGCTTTATCCAGGAAAATACTCGCCGTGTTTATTGTCGAATAACGGCCTCACTGTCAGTGAATATCAAATGGCTGCTTTCATCACACAAAAGTATCGTAAAATATTATGTCACATCGATTTCAAGCTTAAACTTTGATGATGAGGTTGTCAGTTACAGCAAGCAACGGATTAGAATAAAATTCACCAATTTTCTTTGGATTTTAATTAACGATTTCTACTATTAATTATATATATTTGTTACATTATTCGGAACAATACACATCGAAAGAAGCTCGGTCTTCTATTGCAATACGTCGATCGCGAAAGCGGCCTCTCGAATCCGACTAGCAAAGAAGAAAGAGTAGAAGAAGAAGAGGAAGAAGAAGAAGCAGCGGTCCTTTAATTAAAGCACTCGCTCAAAATGAATCTTCTATTTACCTTCCGCCGACCAGAAGATAGTTCCCGTCCCGTAGCATCAGCCGAAAGTAGTCTGTGTGCGTCTCGTTCCCCGTAAACCTGAACACATCTTCCGCACCTGGAAAAGAAAAGCAGAGGAACGCTCAGTTGGTTTTCCTTTCATCGTTCAAGGAGTTTGAGAAAAGAGGATCATCTTATTCGTCTAATTAGTTCGATAGCCATTCATCGTCCTTCCTCTTCGCGACAAACAACGATCGACGACCAAACACATTTATCGAATTAAAACTATCGTTTCTTGCGATATTGTTCGATATTAATACATGCAGAATCTTTTATTTCAAATCCGTCTCTTCTCGTTCGCTCCGGCCGGGAAAATTGCAATCAAGCCGTTTAGTTGATTCGGATGAAAAAGGTTTGCTTAAATAAAACCTTTTGTCGCGTCCGCTTTGCAGACGGCTCGTTCTGGTCGCGCGAAATCGCGCGATTTCACGCGAGCCATCCAACCAGCGAGAACTGGTCGACTCGAAAGCGCTTCAGAGAACAAGCGCCACTGCTCCGAATAATTATCGATTTGACCGTGCAAAGCGTTCGACCGCGGTGAAAAGCAGTCAGAAGCAGACGCCGTAAATACGGCTGTAACGTTTCCACGTGAAAAACGTTTAATAACCGGCCATTTGATTCGAGCCGGTAGCCCAGAGCGATTTCGTTCTGATTTTCCTATCCAGAATCATCCCCCTACCCCTATAACGTTCTCTCCGCTCTCCAGGGCTTTCCTGTCCTGCCAGGACAAACGTAACGCGGGTCAACGTGACGTTAATTCGTTTCCAACGCAAGACGTATGATCCTTCGATAATGGTTCGCTACCATTCAACGGTATTCCGCGACCCAAATTGCATACGCGAGACACCAGATACGGATCATCGATATCGACTGGTGTCCAAGGGGTCGCGTTAATTGCACCCCAGACGTTACATGTTTCGGGCAACCGATAGATAATCGTCGCGCGCATTTCGTGACATTGTCCCCTTTGTTACTCGTCCGTCTCTATCGGATTGTCCCATTAAATAATGGGAATATACCGGGAATTCGGTAGCATAGCGATCGAATAGTTCGGATTTAAACCGAAGTTGCAATTAATTAAAAGAATATTGATTTATCGTTTGATTACCCCGACACTGTGGCAAACGTCTTGAATGAGGTCTCGCGGAGGATGTCCTCCCATAACGGCCCCCCTTTGGCGTAGCATCCGTTCATTGTTACCGTCGATGCTATTGCGTGCTTATCTCCGACCTAAATTGCGACCATCGGATAGGAGGGACCGGTCAGCGACATTGACTGACGTCGAAACACGGAAACAGCTCGATAATTATGCCGTTGGTAGCAGGATTAGAATCTCCTTTGGATAATTTCGATCGGATATCGTCGCTCGAGGAATATCCTGAGCCATTTAATAAACTACTGTTAAACTTCTCTCGATTACCATTATACTTGCTTACGTAACCGTGATTCTTTATCAGCCGATAATCATCCAAACGCGGTGATTAAGACTTTCACGGCGCAACGAGGAATATCGTTCGAAAACTCGTCTAGCGAAACGAGCTGCCATCGTTTTCCAAGAGGACTACGTGGGAGGAGTCGAGGAGGCGAGCACCGAAAGAATCGATCGATCAGCCGAAAGGCAAGGGGGACCTTTGAAACTAATAGATAGGTAATTAGCGGATAATGAAGTAGCTTCCTGACGAGTGAAAAAGTGACCAATCATGGAGGGAGACAGATTCATTACCGATCGATCGGACCTCTTTGTTCTTCTAAGACCAGGCTCGGAAGAAAACTTATCAAGCTTATCGATGCGTTAACGCGTTGTTTAAATTCAATTTTACACCCCTACTCAATTTCATCCCCTAAATTATTCGATTTGACGAGCATTTATCTCGAGAGGAGCGTCGTACAAACGATCGGTAACCGAGTAAAAAACAGAAGTTTCTCGGATGAAAAATGATAGAACGCGTAAATACGCGTCTTTGCAAACGAAATAGCAGTTTCAAAAGGATAAAGAGCTACGGTTTCGAGGTACGGTCGGTCAATATTTCATGGTATCTCGAGCGAACGAGCGGGCGCGCGTTGGGCCGTCGCGGCGCCCGCGTCGGGCGGGATTGTTCGTCGACCGCTAAAAAATTGACCGAAGTGAATTTATCTGGTGGAGCGTAGCGAGGAGGTGGAGGTTAGGCCACAAATCACGTATATAAGTTTCCCGAGGCGGTCTGCCGTGCCACGAAAGGGAGGCCCGCGTATTCGGAAATATTGAACGCGTCCAAAGTTACGGCTCGCCCGTCAAACTTTGCCGATCGAACTTTCGAACGATCGTTCCACCATCGGCCATCCTCGTCGGCTCCTCCGAACGTCGGCCGGACCTCTATCAGAGACCGTCAACGATCAACAATATAATCACGGTGTCGCGTCGAGTAGAAAATTAACCCTACAGCGTCGATGAATGCGTTAAGCAAACGTAGTGGTGTAACGTATTTCAAATTGAAAAGAAACTTGTACAGTTGCATTTACGAGGCAGGACACAATTGGTCTACGGATAAGAACGCAGGATGAATGAATAAAAAGAGAGAAGTCAACACTTATCTCCGATCTGATCGTTTGCCAAGCAAGGGTACGCGCCATTGGCCATCAAGGGTTCTCGTAGCCGTTTCCGGAAGTGGATTACCTTCGGCGTGGCGGTTCGCCGCACGAGTGGATCCACACGAGACCCGGTTTACACACAAGGAGGAGGGGGGGGGGGGGGGAAAGAGGGTTAAGGAGAACGGGATATGGAAGAAGAGAGTGGCGTTATGTCGAGCGAAAGTCATTAAAGTTTCGCACGTGCCGGGGTGACGGTACGGCCAGCAACGACCCTAGGCCATTATTTTTTAACGGCCCCCCTGCAGCTACCTACTACCATCTCTCGGTTACCAACACACGAGCGCACCTTCACACGTACGCACACCGGGTAGAAGCGTGGTCTTCGACCCGCGGTTAAACCATGACTAATGAACGAGCCCATCAACCCGACCGACCCTTTGCCGCTGCTTTCATTGCGGTCAAAACCGCGCGAAAAAAATAATTCCGCTAGCGGTTTCGAATACAATGCCGCATGATCCACCTATCATTACGGGGAATTCGATCATTCGATGATAAGAATTTCTAATACTGTCTAGATTTCTCAGTTACACCGCTTTCCATTCAATTTAAAAAGAATTCATTCCAAAAATGGAAGAACAGCCAGTTGAAAGTCACTATTTGAAGGATTATTAAAAGGAAAGGAATGTGTGATAAAAATGTGAGACTCGTTTTATCATCCATGCGCGAGCTACGTCACCTCTGGTAATTTAACTTTTAATTAAATTAGCCGGTCGTTGGTGTTCCACGTACACGGGTTTTCACGCGAACCTCGAATTTCTTTGACGAAAGCTGTCGCTGGAAATAGAGACGGCCGAGGAGAATTCTAAAAAATTATCCTAGCGTGGAACGGTCACAGTGTTCTCGGCCAGTCATGCGAGCGTCCCCCGGCGCCGCCCGGCGTCGCGTTACCAGAGCCTGCTGGGTGCACTTCAATTTCGTTGGGACAACACGTGTTTCCTTGGCTAAGGTACTTCTCAGAGAAAGAAAGAAAGGGCGAACAAGACAGGAAAGTGGACGGAGAGGAAACGGAAGTTGACAAGACAGAATGCAGGAGAGAAGAACAAATCTGACGGCGTTTCTCAAAGGTAATCGGGAAGGAAATTTTTGTCCCTCCCTCGGTGAAAACTATGTTTGAGCGACAAATTGCGCGAAGATTAAATTATTCGTAAAACGAAGGGTACGTCGTCGAGTTTCACGGTCAATCAGCCGAGCAACAATAGAAACGTGCGTGCAAGATGTTTTATAATTAAATTTTCTTGACACGTTGCTTTTCACCGGTTGCAGAGATCAATCCTTCGATGCGATGAAATTTAATTAAACAAGAAGGAATTATTTATTCTCTTGCTTTCGAGCAGAAATACGATAGATTAGCCGAATCGGATGAAAACGATTCGATCTCGACGATGCAAACTGTTAGCCCGCTTAGGATACGTCCTACTCGATGCACAAGCACAGAATGCATCGAAGGACACGGTACGTCGACGCTGTCGAGCACGTAATTCCATTCTAAGGGATGGAGTAAGGGATGAGAAGGGCATAGAGAAGAGCCAAACGTTATCGGAAGAACCTAACGATCCGATTCTGCCACAATACTGTTACCCTGTCGAAGACGTTCCCCGAACGTTCTCTAGCCTCGTATTTACCTTTTATTTTCCCTCCCTCGTTTTTATCCCCCGCCTACCCTCCGCCGAGTTTACATCGCTAACGAGGGACACCAATCGAACTGTCTCGTTCGTGAATCGACTGGACTCGAACCTCTTTCCCTTTATCGAACCGTTGCCTGCCTTTTAAATCCGTTCCAATACCATGCGACTCTATCAGTGTCTGTCGCGAGCATTTTTCTAAACGTAACGTCGATTTTCTTCGATTTATTCAATTGTCAGCAAAGCCGGATGAAAGGAACTCGATTTTTATTTACAGCCAACGTTGCGTTCATACTTTATTACGTTTCCTTATTTATCGTATTTCTCGTATCTGTGAAACGACGAGATAGAACGGCACACAACGGGGCATTAACAAAAACCATTCGGACGATAGAGTCGATTTCCTGACGATCGTCGGGAAAATGGAAGCTGACCGGCTAGAGTTTCGTACCGGAATAGCATCGGAAGAAATGTGGAGGCTGCCATGGTAGCCGCCAGGGAGTACCTAAAAACGTACCGTACCGTAAAATGGCGGAACTTCGGCTGACGGGTTTGACCCTGGCATTTATCGCGTCGGTGCACATTTTCGGTACGTGTGTATGCTCTCGGTTCAGCTTCCAATGGGGAGAGATAGGTCGCGAAGAAAACGAGATCATCCGTCCTGGGAGCAGCTCGATCGTTAGCGCGACCCCTCGATGTATCTGCATTGTCACCCCGATAATGGGTTTCGATCGTGAACCCGATTGCCGCGGCACTCGACGATCGAACCTACCTCTAGCATGCTCTACCTAGATAGACGAGTTTCAAG